TGTTAAACAATATAAAAAATAAATAAAATACTGTAATAGTCAAAAGTGAGAGCGAAAGAGAAAGAAAGAAAGACACACAATAAATTAATGTATCGACATTTATAAATAATTGAAATGTATTAAGAAAATATATAATATTTTCTAAAATTGTTTGTTGCAAGCAAGAAAAAGAAAGAAATATTATCAACTCCTTTAAAAAGAAACTGAAATCATCGAGCTTTTAAAGCTGTACAATACAAAATTCCTTAAGTCAACAAACTAAAAATAAATTGAAACTTGTGCTTTTATACCAAATGACGTTATTAATAATACGTTTCTAATATATTCAAGGTGAATGATAATCATTTCTTCGCACGAGTTCACGATACGTACAGTAGTAACAAATAGTTTTCGTCAGACGTGAAACGAAGCCTAGTCCCTTTGTCGCAACTAAAGATGTACAGAATGTAACGGAATGGTAAAGAGCAGGATCGACAACAAGAGCAACGGACTGGGGTAGAAACTACGACGTAATGGGGTGAAGCTGCACGTAGATCTACCAACAACTTGGGTTGAAGTCGGCTTAATTAACAGCTCGTGTCACTGCGAATGTTGGGAGTACATAGGTATCCAGAATAACGGGCACGTATGTCAGCATAGTACATGCACATATGTTTGTACGAATTTGGAGATTATACGTTGGCCCGTTTTCTCAAAGTCTCTCAACCAAAAATGTAATGTCCGTGACAATCAGATTGCAAGATCATTTCGTAGCGATGTCGTGGAAAGATAACAAGATGAAAAGGGTAAAAAGGATAAAAAGGGAGAGTAAACTAACTAAACGAGTGTTAAATCGGAAAGAAGAACAGTGATTTAATCAACGCGAGGATTAATCAGATAATATCCCACACGTGTGCGCGTTTTTAGATTATAGTGTGTCACACATTCCATTTACATTTTTCAGAAAAAAAAAGTCCATTGGCTTATTAAAATTAGCGTGAAAGTTCTCTGACTTTCTGTGATGTGTGTATTGCCGGGTCTGATTAATTAATGATTTAATGTACAGTTGACGAAGCGAAAAATCGATCGATCGCCGAGTACATCAGCGATTCCATCATCCTCGTGAAACCATCGTTTTTACATTTACACAAATGCGGATTAAATAATTGCAAACAACAATAGCTCCCTCGATGATATACATAGCTGCAGTAGAAAATTAAATTCTCATATAAAACTTAACAAGACTTCGGTTTTATTAAATCGATGTAAACGCGTTCACATTTGCCGCAAATTATTTTCAGCATAAAACGCTACACAAGCAGAACGATTAATAATCACATGCATTATTCTTCTTCATCCCGCAGATTTTCAAACTTTCAATATCATCATATTCGCAATCTGCCATGTCGTTATACAAGGTATAAAACGCCCGACGCGTTGCGTTTGAATTATTAATTAGCACGCACCGATGCTGCGTCCAGCGTTAGAGATGATGGCATCTATGAGAGAGGCCGGGCTACGCCACGCAACGCGGCTCTAAATGGAAATCGTTGATGCATTGCGAGCGATCATAAGGGTGCATTAAAAAACTTTATCTCGCGTCGCGCGACATTAATCGACCGTCTCGCGCATAATGCCGTGCGCGATAATTGGCGCATAAATTATGGCGGGACAGAGCCCGCCGTGACGAGGAAAATTCCACGGGCGTCCTGTAATGAATAACGATCAATTTCCGGCGAGACAGCCGAGCGTCACGTCGGACGCTGCTGCAAAGGCCGCTAGCCTTCTCTACCTCTCTCTCCCTCCCTCTCTTGCTCCCGCTGTTTCCCTCCTTTGCCTCCTCTCTCTTTCTCTCTCATTCGAGTACCACCCCCTTTGGATCGCGGCGATATCCGAGAGCCATAATCGAGCCAAGGCGGACGGGCTTAATTCGTCGCTAACTCGATACATCGACAAGGCTTGTCAACAAGTCAGGCGAACCGTCATTTAATTACGTAACAAGGCACACCAGGACGAGGGGCTGGCCGGGCATACGCGGGAGAAAGAGAAGAGACGAAATGACGAGAGAGTACGGGTCAAAGGGGACGAAAGAGGAAGTGGCAGAGATGAAGGAGAACAAGTAGCGAGGATGAAAGAGCAAGAAGCGCATGCGACAGGGATGCTATGTGGAAACGAGAGAGTATAATGTATGATCCTTTACAGAAGAGAACAGGGACGATGGAGATAGAAACGTAGGATCAGTCGCAAAGACAGCGGATCTGTAGAAGGAGGGCTTCCATCCCTTAAACAGTACGGCACGTATTCTCATCACGAGTCTAAAGACGTCTGTATAATTCTCGTCTCTTACTGAGATTAAATATACCAAGTAAATAAGATTTCAGAATCGGGGCCAACATATCTGACTGTTAAACTTGCAACGAGAATACAAATCTACAGACTCAAGGAGCAAAGTGGTTTTGCTCAGTCAAAAGCTCGGAGCGTGTGCAGACCGCACGATGTACGACGCGGGAGAGGAAAGCAGATCAATCAGCGAAGGTGGTGGGTTCTGAAAGGGTTAGCTCCTAAATACCACCACTACCACCACCATCATCACCAACCTCCACCACCACTACGAGGCACGCCTAAATCGGTCGAATGTACTGACGACAAACGGGGAATGCGCGGGGGAGTATCGCGTTCGTGTGTTACATCACGAGATGCCGTCGTGTTTGCCCTGCCTGCTCGAGGCTCGCGCCGGCGTCGCCTGAATATTCAACAGCCTTTCCACACACGGCACACGGCCACGATGACGCCCCGTGCTTGCACGCGCGCGAGCGTGTACCGCGTGTATAAACAGCTCCGACAACCGCCTGGCACTTTAGCGCCGAGACCCGTTGCGTCTTAATGTGGGTCACGAGAGAGGGCTGGGCTCGGAAGAAGGAAATTGAGCCGTGCTGAAATCAAGGCTAGCGCTGCCATTTCGCGCTGTCGTCACGTTCAAATAAATTGCAGTCACGTCATCGTCAGTTCGGAATCGGCCGATTACGGTTCATTTCCATTTTACATGTAGGTATAATGTAGAGAGACCTGTACGAGAGATATATGCGAAAATCGTACAGAATGAATAGAAGATGATATATAAGAATCAATGAAATTATCCCTTTTTTTTGGTACTTTTAATCTAAGTCGATGAAAATAAAGAGATGAGGAAAAAGCAAATTTCTAATTTCTTCTATTTTGCTAATTTAAATTAATACCGCATGAATCCGAGAGAATAAAAAAAATATTAAATGACGATTCGCGAATAAAAAGAGAATGCTATAACAACAGTGATAATAAACTCAGGATGTGTTTCATGCTTAGCGTCAGAGCCTGCATTTAATTTGCCGCGCTTCAAGTTGAAATGGGAAATAGCTATATCACAAAAAAGTTGTCTGAAGGCAACACGGACGTATACGCGGATCCGTGATAAAACGGACTCGAAGGGCCGTCGTAAAAATGCCGCGTGCGTACGAAAACTCGTCCGGATTGCACGTCACGGATGCGAAAGCGCATCCCCGCACGTCGGTGGCTTTCCGCAACAAGCGCGCCGGCGCGGTGCGGAAAGTGGGTCAGCATCGTTAGCGTTCGATGGCGCCATTTCGACTCGTTCCGGCTGCGGGCGAAAGGGACGGAAAGGGGCAGACACACAGGGGTAGAATGGGGCGGGTTAGCACGAATTTTGTGGCCTCGCGCTACGGTTTTCGAGCACACCCCCGTGGTCATCGATCGTGGTCGTCTAACTCGATCGGTCGCTAACGAACCGTCTCCTCGTTCTTCCCCGTGAAAATGCTCTTTGTCGCTGCGTGCTCTCGAAAGGAAACTAACTGTTAAAATGGAGCACAGCGGGGGGGAAAAACCGGTCAGGGAACCGTTAAACAAAACATAGTTCGTGGGGTCTGTATAGTATATTGTATAACAGATATGGAAAAATAGACTATAAAAAGTAGTTACACAATTTCGCGATGCACGAGTAATTAAAGAACTGCGCAATTATCGGTTTGAACCGCGGACCAACTTTCGATTCGCGCACGTAGTCGAGTACTTTATTTCAGCAAACTTTAAATCAATTGACAGAGACAATTATCTAATGTCAGTTTACGTTTACAGCCGCGGTATATTTTTGTTATTTTCGCAAGTGATTCCAGATTTAATTAAAACATACTGGTAAAAAAAAAAACACAACGCAGCTACAAGAACATAGCTACATTATGCATACACGTAATTTAAACAAGCTATGCGTATATATGTACATAAGAGAATATTCAAAAATAATGTTCCCGACACATGCCAGTATAATTAAGACTATATGAGTAATTTTTATTACGGTAAAATGAGGGTCCACGTGCATGATAATTATTGATAATGAAACGTAATTTTTTTCTACCGAGTAAGAGACAGCCCATTTAGAATAAAAAATTGCGAATAGCCTCGAAACTCTGTAAATTTAAAATTATTGTTAAGCAAATAATTGTTAAACAAATTTCATTACGTAAAAATATCTTGTCGAAGGATGCACGACTACTATAAAGCGCGATTGACGGTGTCGCGGCAGTTGGATATTCTGATTATTAGTTGCATAAATATTCTTGATATGCATATATGAGCAATCGTTCTACTACCGTTGCGGAAGAGCCAATTTCAATGAAATTCGAATGACAATTTATCTCGCTCATCTGTTACAGATCACATAACAAATGCCAATATCATTCCATCAAAATTATTGATGTTTCTGCTTAACTAATAATATATTTAGATTATAGCAAATAACATCAATTCCACTTATCGAAAAAATAAAATTTAAAAGGACAAAACTGAATAATCCTACAATTCCAATAAATTTATTGCCGTACAAAAGCTGTAGATTATCTATAAACTAGAAAAACTTCTTTATCGAATTAATTTATCTTGATTTCATTATATTTTGATTGGCTGTGAGACTCATGTTATTTGCAAGAATTTAATTTCTCTTCAATGACTAATCTTCTCACGTCTTCACTCACCTGACACTGCTGTGGTCCCTGCCTGTTCGGCGAGGAGGCCTTCAGTCTCGATTTCTTCACTCCCAGCTTCCCAGGATCACCGCCACCGGCCCTCGATTCCTCGCTGCTACCTGAAATCACAGATATAGAACCCGTTAAATTGCCGTAACGCCTCGACGTTTGACGAATCGAAAGACAAATCGATGTTACTCGACTAGTCGCGAATTGCCGAAGAGCAAGAGTCGTTTCCTCTCTGACGCTAGACCGCTTCCGAGCAGTCTCTCCTCTATCGTCGAGGACTGACGACTTTTTGCGGCGATGACGCTTCAGGTTCGCTCGTCCCGCAACGTTTCTTCCGCACCTCCGGACATCACCTCCTGTTTTCCTCCACGTCGTCATGAGAGACGCGAGGTAGCGTCTACAAGACTTCGACGTATGGAAGATTGATTGCCTACCGTGTTCTTTTTGCGCGCGACCTGGGATATACTTAATGGTCGATTGGTCTGGTCGTCAACATCGATCGAGCACCGACTGTGTCGTGGAAGAAAGGATCTCGAGGTGGCTTCTCGCCAAGGACCACGTGGGTTTCCTTAACGAGAAGCTTCCCTGTTTTGTTAAGGACTGTTTTGGAATCAAACAACACGTACATTCTTAAAAAAACTACAGCGTACATTAAAATCAATGATGTTAATACAATTTACGTTATAATAATGATTTATTTCTTTCCATTTTTAGAATACCTAAGTAAAGAATATTGACAGAAAACTTTGAAGAATTTGTAACGAATTGTAATGCATATAAAGTTTTATATAATAAATACTGAAAAATTGTAAACGAAAAATTAAGTATGTACGACAATATATTAAGCTTACAAAATCAGAATATTCTCTTAATCCGCTTACTGAATATTCTCTGATACGCTTATTGAATATATCAAATAGAAATTTCTGTGTAATCGTTGTAATAGTGTTCCAATATTGAATAACTATTAACGAAAAAATATTCCCCTTAATAACATTATGTAATAATCATTAATGTATTGCACAGTAAAGTTTGCAATGTGCAACAAAAACATATAAAAAAATAGAGATTATCTCTCAATTAGTCAACCGCTTGTTATTTAGTTACCTCCGTCAAATTAATTATTAATCAATGGACGATTGGAAAATGTTTCCGACTAGCTCCCGATTAGAGAGAACAACATCCGTCTGCAATTTACTTCCGCAACGGTGGGGATGCTTGTACGTCTCTACGGGTCGTCGTTACCGACGTGCAACATCTGCGATCATCGTTCTCCTCGCCGTGCCTCGCTTCCTTGTGAGGCAGCTAATTAATTATTGTTTCAGAGCTGCCGCTACCGCAGCGGTGCTAGAAACTCCCGGTGCACTATTTGCACAGCGCGGACTGGAGGAAAGATGGGCTCGCTTAGTACAAAATTATGACTCGTACAGTTGCGCGAAAGATGAAGGTTGACGAGCAATTTTTCCCTGCGCAATTTTCGTACGTCATGGGAAATCAACCGGAAGTGCATCTAAACGGGCCCTTTCTCATGTGCGAATAATTATATCGCGCTATTTTTCACGTCGAAATAATTATGCGAAAGAGTACGCACGGTAATCGGTTAAAGTACACGCATAAATCAAATTACACGTATAGTCGTGTCTAAAATTATAAAATTTATAAGGCATTTTTATAAATTTTTTAAATTTTAAATCTGTAGATCAAAATAAATACAACGAAATTTGTTAACTTCGGCTTCATTTATTAATAAATTATCAATATTTAATGATTTATTACACTTCCATTTTGCTTTATGATACTTTTGCAATTTTTTTTTGGTAAACTTTTTACTAGTTTTCTGTTAGTGAATTTCGTTATTTGTTCTCGTACTTCCATAATCGCAATTTATCTTGTTTTGAAATGCATTCTTAATGGATTTCTTTCTTCAAGTAAACCCATAAATATTCATCGAGTTGATGTCAGAACTTTGTGGACGCCAATCTATGATATTGAACCTATTTTTTTAAACAATGTCATATACATGACATTTATAAATACCATTACGCAATAAATTGAAAAAAATATACATGCATGTATCTTAACTAATTCCAAGAAATTACTAAAAGAAAAAGTAATTCGTCATTTTTTAGAGAAACGCTAATCAATAAAGTGCTTAATAATTTTATAGCTCTAATTTTATACTTTCTGTTCGAGTCGAGTCTTTAGAAGAAAAATTGTAACAACACATCTTTTCTAAAAATGAGCCTCTCCTTTGCTGTTGTTGAAAGTAAATGGATAAACAGGCAGAAAAATCTTTAAAAATAACGAAGTTACTCTAAACCGTATTTATACTTTGTGCAATATCATATCGATTATTGAACTTTTGCAGACAAACAGGATTTATCCATCCTACTGATAAAACGGTAGCTCTCCCGTTGGAAACCGGGCAGTTCGTTGTATACACGGAATCCTTTACGTGGATGTTTCTCGCTCGTGAGTTTTGCAGCATCGCGTCGTACTTCGGAAATCAGCAGGCTGCGAGTAAACAAGTCTCTTTTCATCAACTTCGACGGATGAAGCGGCTGTATTTACCGGAAACTCATATAGTCGCCGACTACGAGCGCAAACATCGATGGTGCACGCTTGTACTACGTGACTACGGCGAACTTTAATAATTTTGTCTTCGAGCCTAGTAGAAAAGGTGTGCGACGGCGACGCTGCGTCGCGACGTCTCGGTTGACCGTGTTCGCTCTTAATACATGGATCCTTCTCTTTCTCTTTTCTTCTCTCGCTTGGCGCGGCAATTTAATAAATCAACGTGCCTGTCTTCGATAGACCAGCAGCACACACACACGCACATACACATTCGGCCGAGTTTGATAAACGGCGGCTTCTCTCACGGCCGAATAATTTGCCGATCTCGATACGCGAGGCTCATCCGAATTCGGCTGCGATGCGGAATTTCAGGCTTCGCGACTGCGATTACGTTCGATAAATTCTTCATCGATTTCGTAGAGATCACGAGCGGAGCGAACGAGTGGTCCGTCGAATAAAGCGAGTGGAAGTTTGTTATCAGCAAAATCGCTCGTGCCCGTAGATAGCATCGCTCTAAATCATTGTAGCCGGGCCAGTCCGCGCTTTCTCTTTTATGTGGATTTTCTGCAACGTGGACTGCAACCACAATGCGATCAATCAAATCCGTCAGAAAATCGTGACTCACGCTCAACCGAGAATTGGCGTTCCATCAGAGCAGTGCGTTCACAATGGTATCAAAAGATTAGATTGAAATGGTAATATGACGCATGTTACGGCTACCAAAAAAAAAGTTTCGTGTAATAAAAAAAAAACTTCTGTAAAATAAATATTTTCATTATAAAATGGTGTGTGCGTTCTATATCAATTTTTCATCCCGGCGCTAATCGCCGTTGCCGACTACGAATTTCCAACTGTTATTCAATTACGATGCTATATACAACAGTTAGCCCCCCAACGTATGCACGCTCATTGTGAACGCAAGGTGTGAGCCGCAACCTGGGATCCCACAGCATAGGGATGCGTTTGTAATTCCATTTACCACATAAGTGGATGGCGCAACGTGCAGATGGCATGCTTAATAAAGTGTACTTAACCGAGTCGAGGTTGAACCCCGCCTCGACCCGGCCTCGATTGCATTCGCGTTTCGTACCCCCTTCTCTCTCTCTCATCCTCCTCAGCGGTATTAGAACCTCCGAATGTCTTAGAAGGTGGAGTGCATTTCGCCACGACAACTGTTCATAATTGCATTGCCAATTGTGATAGATGTTATGCGCACGTTAGACGTTTCTTTGTTCAAATGTAGTTACGTTACAATCGAAATAAAATAGATATTCGTTCATTTTTCTTTGCTACAGTTATTCAACGTCAAATACGTTATAATTTTATGATTGATACGGACATTAAAAATATTTGAAATTTTTAATTATCAATATAAATTAAGAATGAATTTATATAGATTAATTAATTATTAATTTATATTGATAATGAATAAAAATTTCAAATATTTTTAATAACCGTACAGATTAATATTTGTTAAACTCGATATTTCAGAGTAAATAAGAGTGTATACGTATATTTTATCAGCGACAGAAAATAGCTGTGCATTACAATAATATTTTCTATAAAAACTAATTTTAAAACACTTTTCAACGAATATAAATCAATCGGCTGTCTCTGAAAGACGAAAGTTAGATAAAGGTAATTAGATCGTCTCCCGTGGATCGCGTACGAAAACCAATACGTAATTGCGTCTAACTCTCTGACATTCTTGATTTGCCAATAACAACACATTTACATAAATAACAAGAATACTTCTCACAGCTGCGATTCGTCCAATTATATTCGAGTGATCATCAATGATACTGCGTGCTACTGGAAGACGAACGTGGCCATGACTGTAAATAATTCCGCGGCCGATCATACTAGAAATACTAGCAAACTCGCACGTGTGCTCGACATTCTTGGCGACCTATCGGTGATCGTAAGATCATCGTGCCTCTGAATCCTTGCCAAATTGGCGACAGACATAGTCTATCGTTCATAAATTCGTAAACATAATTTGGCAAAAGAATAGTACTTAGCTCTAAATCCTAAGAGACTCTACTGTTGTATTTTTGTTTCTTTTAGAACTGTGGTAAACTCTATGTGAGAAAGAAAATAACTGTCTTTCTTAAATACCCAAAATAAGAAAAACCGACTTGTGTAAAGATTAAGTTGACACACAGTTCATAAATTATTCATGAATATACACTTCGTAAGAGAGAATGAGAAAAATTAAAATTCAACAAAATATTTATTATGTATTAAAAAAAAGAAGATTGTAACTAAATATCGAAAAGACAGAATATCAGTATTTAATACGTTTAGCATCTCGTTTATTTTTATGTCCAGTAACTTTGTAAGATATAAATATCAATTAACGAACTGAATATGTGAGACTTCAAAGCCGTGGAAATCTCATGGATGTGCTGTTACTTCAAGAAACGGCGTATCTGCAAATGCGATTACGACCAAAAGCTCCCGCACACGGCCAAATGATTCCCTCTTCTCGAAATCCCACGGCTTAGAAAGTGGGAACAGGTCTGCTCTGCGAACG